TTCTTTATAATTTTTCTCGAGGACGGAAAAAATATTTCTCAATATTAAGAGATTGAACGACCATCGATAAACTGAGCAGATGAGCTTTATCTTGATCTCTCTAAATCTCTTTATTTTACAACAATTCATATATTTTATCGGCTTCAATAGCTCTTACCTACTGTATCTATTTTCTATTAATAATGCATTAAATTAGAACTTCATTTATAACTCTACATTCTATGGTACATGTTAACTGGAACTCAATGATAAGGAAACTTGTACCTTCATTCGTATATCATTTGAATAGTATTTAAGTTATATGTCGTGTGCAAAGGTTCTTTTGTGCAAATCCAGATCATTATTATCGTCTTGATATGTTTTGTTTATTTGATTGATGTAGAATTGCACTACGATTCCTAGAAAAAGAAAATATGGAATATGATTCAAAAGGAAAACATATTTTAGAATTGGAACAAAGGAATCTTTGTCTTTAGATTAACGCAAAAAATAAAATAAAAGAAACACATGATCGTGGATGAGACGCCAAGTTGCAGGTGATTCTCTGAGAATTGCATAATGAGCATGCAATTTCAGTTAAATAATATTATCATCGGATTCCCTTATGAATGATTAAAAATAATCAATCATTATATTTTACTGACAAATGGACCCACCTATTATTCATTTACTGAATGATCAATTACTTTCTGAAATTATCGTTTACATGTTAGTGTGGAAAATTGACATAAATAATAATAATATATTATTATTTAAATAAAAAATTATGAAAATATAACAGGTTGAAACCAATTTACGAATCTATAATAGTCAATAGTGTTCCAAGTAAGCGCGATTCATCTGCTAGACGAACCCCACACAGGCGCAACCTGTGTAAAGTCGAGCCTCGTCCAAACACGATTTTGCACCATTTACACGTTGACACGTGATACAAAAATTATTATTTTGATCGTAAAACTTCGGAAGACCGTAAATTTTGACTCGGATGTCCGAACCAGGTGATTTTTGTTATTCCACATAATTTTTTGAAATCTACGCAATAATATCTCGTTGTAGGGGATTGAGACAAAAAAAATCAAATTTAATATATTTTACCATAAAACTTTGAAAGATTGAGCTCAATGTAATCGATTACATGAGCTCAATCTTTCCAAATTTCCAAAAAAGTTATGTGGGAAGATTGAGCTTATGTAATCGATTACACGAACTATTACTCGGGTGTCCACAATATGTAGTTTTTTTTTAAAATGATTTTGAGAAAATGGTAATATAATATAATGTGGTCCCATATTTTGGAAAATTTATTTAACCAAATCCCCTTTTCGAACTTGCCACGCGTGGCTTTCAAAAAGTTATAAGGAATAAAAAGAACCACGAGATTTGCACATCTAGTCAAAATTTATGACTTTCTGAAGTTTTACGGAAAAATATCTTAAATTCGAAAAAAGGTTGGATTTTTTTTTACCTAAATCCCCTAAAATAAGAAGTCAGTGCATAGATCTTGAAAAATTATGTTGAATAAAAAAATACCTGATTCAGACACCCAAGTCAAAAGTTACGACCTTCTGAAGTTTTACGGTTAAAATATTGAATTTTGTGCCACATGTCAGCGTGTGAATGGTGCAAAGTCACGCCTGTGTGGGGCACAACCAATCGCGCCCGTGTGGGCGGCAACTTTGCATAGGTTGTGCCTATGTGAGGCGTGACTTGTTGCTCTTATCGGAGGCGCAACTCAGTGCAATATATTCGTAAATTAGTTTAAAATGACCATATTTTCATAATTTTTATTAAAATAATATATTGATTCTTTTTTCGTGGAAAATTAAAAGAAAATTCTAACCTCAGAATAAGAATGACCACTCATTGTGCCCGATTTGCCATGAAATTTAGCATACTGGTTATTTTATTTGAAACTGGGCATAATGTAATTTTGACAGTTGTGGGGTGTTTGGTATATGTTTTTTTTAGGATTTCTGGAAAATTGAGATTGGTAATTTTATTTATCCAAGTTTGGTACGAGATTTCTAATTTTTTTTCAGAAATCTGATTTTTTCAAGATTTTATTTTGTGCGTAAAATTTTCTGAAAAGACCATCTAAGAATACCATTCAGAAAATGGTATTATAGGATTCACATGGCAAGAGGAAATTTAATACAACCAAACATAAGATTAAGAAAAGTAACCCAATATTTCCTAGATATTTTGGCCTTCAAACAACTTTTTAGTAACATTTTCGAAAAATTCATTTTTTACCATATTCTTAGAAATCTAAATTTTTGGGTAAAATAAATTTATTCTCTATCAAATAGCCCCTAAAGATTAAAAAATGGGAAAAACTTCCCACGTTACATTAGAAAATTGTTTTATCATATTGTAGCTTTTTAATTTGCGTGTAATTTTTTTTTTTAATAAATGTGATACCCATCACTAAATGAGAAAATAAGTTTTATATAACATGAAAAAATCAAATCTCTAAAAAAATTTAATGAATTTGACATATGCTGCAAGGAATTCGAAGATAATAACATGATAAATATTATTTTTATTTTACTTGATGTAATTATCTCATATTATCTGACTTCGAAAATTTCACCAACTTTTTTTTTTCTTTTTTATCCTTTAATGATGGACCCCACATGGCTTCTCTTTGTAACATGAGAAAATTACTCTCATGTAAAGTAAGAGTAACATTCCCCTAATAACATATCAATTAAGTATGAGTTTTATAAGAGTTATGTTGTAGAAAAAGTGATTGTGTAATGTTATAGAGATTCATTTTGCGTGCTTTAATTATTATTTTTTGCTTCAAAAAGTGCAAGCTCCACAAAATATTGTATGTGTAAGATTTTTTTTTGTGTCATGTGATATGGTAGATACAAACCCCATTAACTATTGACATGAAATACAACCAAGAAGTATCATTTATTAATAATTTTTCTTAAACGAATTTAATAAAAACAGAGAGTAACGGATAGTCAAAGTCAGAGCTTAGGAAAAAAGTTGCTCTTTTTATGTGAAAAAGAAAATTGTAGTCTTGGACTCTTGGTGGGTCTAAAAGTGAAATCCGTTTTATGCAACACAGATTTAAAAGAAAGGAAAAATGAAAAGAAAAAAATTTATAAGCTATAATTTGAATTATGTCTATAATTTCAATAATTGAGTAATAAATTAATTAAGGTGTGTTTAGATAGGCCCTAAAAAAATATTTGTATGGTTAGTATTTTTTTCTTATTTTTTTATAAGCTATCTTAATGAAAAAAAATACTAAAAAGTGGAAGGACTTGACAAGTTTGAAATGTAAAGGATAAAACGGTAAAGTGGCTGTAAAGTCCTATTGGGTCAGCCACAGACGCAATTTATAATTAAGATTTGAGAGTGTCTATTTAAACGACAAAACCAGCGTGTGGACACTGCAGCAGTTATTCGTGAAAAAACGAAACGCATAGACCCACATATTCCCACAATCTTGATTTTCATTTTTTTTATAGGTTATATTTATAAAAAAAAATTACAACCTCTTACAATTATATCTTAATATCGTTGATTTCTGTCAATCAATGATTATTATTTAATTATAAAATAATAATTAATTAATGAGTTTAATTTGTAAAAATCATAACTATTGATTGACAGAAATCAACAGTGTTAAGATATAATTATAAAGGATTATAAAAAAAAATTATAAATATAACCTACCTCTTTTTTATTACTATTTTATTTCCCATTGCTTTTTGGTTTTCCCCCTCGTGCAAAAACCTAAGATTGTTTTTTTAATTTTTTTCTTGTAACAGAAACCGAAAACATTTAAGAACAAAAACAAGAGAGAGAAGTTGATGATTTCGTTTTTGTTATTTATTTATTAAATTGATATTTCTTATATTATAAGAAATATTTTTCTTATCTATACCCGAGAGTATATGAGACTTATGTAGGATTATATAAAAAGAAAAAAAATAGATCTATATAATTTTATATATGTCTAAACTCTATAATATAAAATTATTTCTTATAACAACGAAACCATTTATTTCTTCATTTACAGTGAGAAAAAACATAGGGAATATGACAAGAAAGAGAGAGTTGGAAAGAGATCCTTTTAACCACCAATACAGGGATTACAATTAATATAAAATATTTTAGTTTTAAAATTTGGATGTTAAAATTTAATTGGGGGATTTTTTATGTTTAACTTAGAGCTTATTTAGATGGGCTTTTAAAAGTAGTATTTTTTTTATATCTTACTTATTTTAAAAGTTTTTTTTTTTGTAAAAACTAAAGTTATTTAGATTTTTGAAAAATATTTGATTTTTGAAAAAGTACTTGACTTTGACTTATGTGTTTTAGAAGCTAAAAAAAATTGACTCTTTTTTAAAAGCATACCTTCAAACAAATTTTTTTTTAAGAAAAAAGCAATTCTTGAAAAATGTCTGCTTTGATGTTTGTTTTAAAAAAAACAAAAGTCATAAAAAAAAGTTAAAAATTTATTTTTTTTTGAAGTTAAAATTTTTAGCTTACAAAAAAAACAGAAGTCAAAAGTCAAATAATTTCTTCAAAAATCAAATATTTTTTTAAAAATTTAAATAACTTTAACTTTTATAAAAAGCACTTTTAAAATAAGAAAGTCATAAAAAAGGCTTTTTTAATAAGTCAATACAAACAGATTGTAATAAATAAATAAATTTAATTATCAAATTTATTGAGTAATGGATGAATTAATAAATAATTTTTTTAAAAAAATACATTTACTACTAAACACGTGCATTGATGGAAAATTATTCCCTTTTAATTTTACCTGACTCAACGGAATTAAATTAAAGTATTAAACTATCAATCCATGAATTAATGGAAAGAATTAAAAAGAATGGTTTGTCATTAATTGATTGACTAATAATATAATATTGAGAGAGAGAGAGAGAGAGAGAGAAATAAAAGACAATATAGAAAGGGGAATAAAACAAAAGAGCCTTAGCTTAGCGTTACTGTGAAGTGGAACCCTCCCTTCAAAGAAAGTAAGAAAAGTGGGCAGTGGCTAGCTAGTGTTAGTGTGGTTGGATTTTTGTGGTTGAAGAAGGAAAAAACCAACCTCTTCCACTGCAAAACTTCAAGGTTTTGAAGGCTGAGGTTGTGTTTTCTCTTGTTGCTGGATTTGAAGGCTGTGTTATTATGGGTTCTGGTTCTGCTGTTACTTTGCTCCTTCTTTTCTGCTTATGGGGTCTTTTCATCTCTCTCTCATCTGGGGCTAGGCTTAGTGCTTCAAGGCAAAAGCTTGAGGTCAACAAGCATTTGAATCGCTTGAACAAGCCTGCTGTCAAGACTATTCAGGTTCTTCCTTCATTTTTATCTTTTTTTATCTTTTGGGTTCTTCTCCATCCACCCCATTTTTTGTATTTCTATTTCTTCTTGGTTTAATCTGTTTGGTTCCCAAGAAAATAGCCTGGTTTTGTGAAAAAGATTACTTTTTTTTTGCCCCTCGTTTCCTTGTTTGCTGAAGTGTAGTGTGTTGCTGGAATGGTTCTGTGCCTTCAAATTATTTTCACTTAAAAATCAAATGCCCCTCTGTTGCAAGCTTTTGCTACTGATTTTTTGTTTTTGTTTTTAAGCATTCTGTGATTTTTTTTTCTTTTTTTTAAAAATGTAGATCTTTTATATTGATGTTTTGATTTCTTAAGCCATGTGACTTTTTCTCTTTCTTTTTTTTCTACTTATACCTACCTCCCCCTCTTCCAAAATAAATCATATCCCTTTTTGAAGAAATTATTGATTGGATTTTGAAGCAGTGATGAGAAAGTACTGAAAGAAAGAAATGGGTAATGATTTACTTTTTTTTTCTATTATTTTTTTAATCAGCTACTGAATTTTAAAAAGTAGAAAGATACTAAAGAGAATTGTTTTTAAGTTTCGATTTTGTTAACATAGTATTTCAAGTGTTAATAATATGATTTATCATTGTTGCAGAGCCCAGATGGGGATATAATAGACTGCGTGCATGTTTCTAAGCAGCCAGCCTTTGATCATCCTTTCCTCAAAGATCACAAAATTCAGGTCCATTTTCTTCATTCAAGATCTGTACTTAATGTTCTTTTCTCTCCTTTTTTTCCTTTATTTTTTATTTGGTTCTTTCTAACTCTATGCTTTGGTTAATTAGACAAGACCTAGTTTCCACCCTGAAGGGCTTTTTGATGAGAACAAATTATCTGAAAACCCCCAAGAAAAATCCAATGCTCCCATCACTCAGCTGTGGCATGTGAATGGTAAATGCCCTGAGGACACAATACCCATCAGGAGAACAAAGGAGGAGGATGTTCTGAGAGCAAGCTCAGTCAAAAGATATGGAAGGAAGAAGCACAGAACTATCCCTAAGCCCAGGTCAGCACAGCCTGATCTAATAAACCAGAGTGGTCATCAGGTAAGAATTGTTTTGAATGCCTTGTAGTGTTATCAACCTTTCTTGTTTCCTCTTTCAAGTGTTCTTTGTCTAATTAATTTCCTGATTGTGTATTTTTGTGTTGTTGTTGATCAGCATGCAATAGCTTATGTTGAAGGAGATAAGTACTATGGAGCAAAAGCCACTATAAATGTGTGGGAACCCAAGATTCAGCAGCCTAATGAGTTCAGCTTGTCTCAGCTCTGGATATTAGGAGGCTCATTTGGTCAAGATCTTAACAGCATTGAAGCTGGCTGGCAGGTACTAAAGAATCAGCATTTATTTATTTGAGCATCAAAACTTGAGGACCTGTCTTTGATTTTGAAATTCTTGTTTTCCTTGTAAATAGTAATGACTGCGTGTACATGATTACAGGTTAGTCCAGATTTATATGGTGATAACAACACACGGCTATTCACCTACTGGACGGTAAGCTTCTATATTTTAAGCATGCCTAACTCTATTTGGCTTTCATTTTTGTTCTAATTGTTATGTTAGTCCAAAAAATGTTCTTTTTCATCAAACTCTCTTTATGCATTTTGCAGAGTGATGCATATCAAGCTACAGGCTGCTACAATCTTCTTTGCTCTGGATTTATTCAAGTCAACAGTGAAATAGCAATGGGTGCAAGCATTTCTCCAATTTCAGCATACCGGAATTCACAGTTTGATATCAGTATTCTTATCTGGAAGGTAAAATCTCATAAATTATAACATTATTAATCTGCAGAAGTAAACCAGCTTTTGAGCACGATGAGTCTCGTCATTCTTCAAACTAGGTGTTTGGTATGTGGACCATTGTAATGTCCCAAGTGCTTGGATTCTTGAAACCTATCATCGTTCTCCCATAGGTATGAAACATGACATGTGGAAGATTCAAGGTGCCCATCATGTTTGATAGGGTATAGCTAGTATGGGAATCTTTAGTTCTTCATGTTTTCATTTATCAACCGGTTAATTAAAGCTTTTTATTGAAAGCATTCTTGGTGGCAGTGGCAGTGGCATCATAGTTAGAATCATCTTTGTAACACTGATACTAGGGATCTCTTCCCAATTTCTTTTGACCATGATATGGACCCCAATTGTAATTGATGACAGGACACTGTCAATTCATCTTATAGGAACTTTTGAAAAGTTATTATGAATGGCTTATACCTATAAGTGCATAGCACAGAACACATGTAGACCACTTGTATTTTTATCTTCCTTTAACCCTTTACAATACAATGTGGCCAAAACCAAATACTTGACATCATGAAATTTGTTTAAGTGATTTTCTCTCCTTTTTTTTTGCTTGTAGGATCCAAAAGAGGGGCACTGGTGGATGCAATTTGGGAATGACTACGTATTGGGTTATTGGCCTTCTTTCCTGTTCTCATATTTGGCTGACAGTGCTTCCATGATTGAGTGGGGAGGAGAAGTTGTTAATTCTGAGCCTGATGGTCAACATACCTCAACTCAAATGGGTAGTGGTCATTTTCCTGAAGAGGGATTTGGCAAGGCAAGCTACTTCAGGAATGTTCAAGTGGTTGATAGCTCCAATAATCTCAAGGCTCCCAAAGGTATTGGCACCTTCACTGAGCAATCAAACTGTTACGATGTCCAAACAGGCAGTAATGGGGATTGGGGCCATTACTTCTACTTTGGAGGCCCTGGCAAAAACCCAAATTGTCAATGAGCTAAAGAAGATGAACTAAAAAGAAGAAAAAAAAGAAAAAGAAAAATTGTAGTCTCTCTTGTATCATTCAATCATCCTAGTGTTAAAGCCCTTCTCTTCTATCTTGTATACCCTTTTTCTGTAGTGGAAAGTTTTGACTGTTATTTTATATTGAAAGATTCTCCATGTAAGCTTAGTGGGGAAGTGTGGCCAAGTTTCTCAAAAGCCTAAAGAAACAGGCCTTTATAACATCCTTGTATTTTATTTGTTTGTCCACTCCTCTCTATAGGAGTGTGTGTCAATGGCAATGGAGCGAGTTCCTCTATATTTCTTAGTCTTTTGTGATTACTAAAACTAGAATGTACTCCCAGAATGTGTTACTGATCTTGTTCCATAATTTTAAATGATAATATGGTGCCATGTCCATGCTTGGAGAATCTATCAATTAAATAAAGTGAAAGTTAGTGTGACCAATGAAAGAAAAATGAGAAAAAAGAAATTGTATTTGGCCTTATTAAAAGATGCTTGAGAAAGGGTTGCATGTGAGTGGCTGACAGTACTTTTGTTTGCATTTCAACTTTTTTTTTGTAAAAGTGGCCCACTTCCACCACCACACATTTTTCAATCACTTTCTCCATCCTGCAAATCCATCCTTATATATCATTAAAGGCTGTGAATATGCGGGACCAAAAAGTTGTAGGCCCACTTATTTTTATTTGGATTTTATTTTTTTTGTTATATAATATATATATATATTAAAAGTTAGTTTAGTATCATTTTTAATTGATAGTGAAAAGTTTAAACCCTAAGGGGATATGATGTGTATACTTACATGGTAACAAGTTTAAATTTTAGTTATAATGGTGTTAGGCTGTATGAAAATATATGAATATCTTAGTCTGAATAATTTGTCTTTTACTAGATCAGTTGAAGTGTGTATACAATGTAATCGTAATACCTATATACCTATGCTTACAAATCAGAGTTCTTGATCTTTTTTGATCTAATGACTCTCAGATGAAGTGTCAAATTTCAAATTTGACACTAGTGTCAAAGGATTCTACCCCCCCCTCTCTCTCTCTCTATATATATATATATTTGGGTTTTATAAGAGTTATGTTGTAGGAAAAGTGATTGTGTAATGTTATAGAGATTAATTTTGCGTGTTTTAGTTTTTTTTTTTTTTTTTTTTGCTTTAAAAAGTGTGGGCTCCACAAAATATTGTGTGTGTAGGAATGTTTTTCGTGTCGTGTTAAAGGACAAACTAAAACCCTTATATATATATGAGAAAAATATTTCTCAAGTAACTTGAGATATATTTATCTTCGGCCACCCAAAAATATAGTACTTTTGTTTATTTATTTCCTTATATTAATTGATTCATCTCTGAATGGTTATGATTTAGTAGCTGGAGATAAAGTTATCTCAAACAGCTTGAAAAATGATAAGCCCTATATATATATATATGGTAAAATCAGAAATATATATGGCAAGTATTTGATTGTTGCACGTACAGCAACTGCAAAAATGTAAATCAGGAATAATATATAGAGAGAGGACAAGATCAATTTATATGGATATAGAAATAAGAAGTTTTGTTTTAAAAAAAAGAATAAGAAGTTTTATATTGAGAGATAATCTAATATTGAGAGGACAACTTGGATTGTTATAAAATTATAGTGTGAACTTAGTGAAAATTTATCCAATAAGCACGGCCACACCCTTATTATTATTATTATAAACAAAAGGTATTCTTTACTAGAAATAATTATGTTCGAGTCAAAAACATTCATATATCATGTGGAGTTAATTCTCCCAAACGAAATTTTTTACATTCACAATGATTTAAATTCAAAATCTTTCATAAACAAAATTAAACATGTACCATTTAAACCAACCTCTTTTAGTATGGTACCACCCTCGTTTCTGGTAAGCTTGGGTGATGCAGCGAAACACGTTGATTGAGCAATGTTGCGGTCCATGCCAGCGACTGAATCTGCACAAAGAGACGAACAAAGTTGCAACCTAACTAATAATGCATGGGCATTCCTAAATGATTGTTGTACCCTTCTTGAGTTTGAGTTTGTATATCATATCAGTATTTGTAGTAGACTAGTAGGGTACACATGAGTATATGTATCCAATACTTTTTTTTCTTTTTATCAGATACTTTTTGGTATACCTTGGTCAAGTTTTGCAACAGGTGATATACTGATATATTAAAGTACAAGTCAATCCTTTCAAAACACACAGTTTTGCAAAGCTCTTATGTCATTGATTTGGAATTTCATATTTTCAAATCTTATGCCCCTTTTGGTTATTTTTGCTTAATTGATATGTTTTACGGAGATTTGTTGAAAATTTTGAATTAAAAAATAGGGTTCATTTTTTCTGCCGTCAATGTAGATAAGTTATCTACATTGAGACCAAAACGACGTCGTTTTGAGACGTAAATCAAGGTATTTTTGTAATTATAATTTATTTCAGGGTTATAAACTTATAATAGTTTTTCTTATTATAATTTTTTAATTTTTCAACCCAAAACGACGTCGTTTTGGGAGTGAATGTAGATAATTTATCTACTTTCACTATAGAAACATTAAAGCCTAAAAAATATTATATCAATTATATTCGTCTTATGATATAAGAGTTTTATTAATCTAATCTCATTGTAGAAGAATACTATAGACACGATTATGAAAATGGCCCACTCACTTATAAAAAATAAAAAATAACTCAAAATTGAGCTACACAAGAATCGATGAGTGGGTAAAAAAGATAATTACTTTTCAACAACATGAGAGTAGTTTTTCCGTTAATATAATTACTTAATTATTTACACTTTTATATTTGTATACAATATATTATCATTTCTATATAATATTTTATCCTATACCAATATTATAAAAATTTTGTCATATCATGTACCCGTGTAAATGCAGCCTACATGGGGGTGATGCCAAGCAAAAAAATCTTTTTGTTGAAGCAAATGATGATAGATCAGTTGATCGTATGAGAGGAGAAAATATTAGGTGGTTCCTCTTCTTTCCCCTTCTCTCTCCTCTTCTTTCCTTTCTCTCTCCTCTCTCTCTCTCTTTTTTTCCCTCAGTCTCTCTCTTCTTACTACATATCCTCTCGTATGAGAGTTAGTGGGTGAAAGTATGAATCCTTCTCAATATTATCTTTAAGAGGATTTTAAAATTTTAATCTAGACTTGTCCCGAACAGAAATGACTTACTTGTGTTTTATCAAAAAAATAAACTCCTTGTCGACACCTGTATTTTAACTTTTATTTTCTTCTTGCTCTGTGTTGATTTCCTGGATACTAACATCAAAGAAACTGTAACAGGTTTTGGGATTGGAAAATAAAGGTTCATTGTTGAATAAAAATTAACAATGATGAATGAAGTAAAGAGCTTTGAAAGAAGGCTGGTTGTTGTGGATTACTATCTGGGGATAATTGGATAAAAGGTTAATATAAATATTAGAGTAGCATTAATTTGTTAGGATCCTGATTGTAACTATCACGGTTTGTTACCTTGTATATTAAAATAGATTAGCTTGATTTATGCTTTCTGTTCCTTAAGTTTAGCTGATTTCCTGATGTAAATAGATTAGCTTGATTTATGCTTTCTGTTCCTTAAGTTTAGCTGATTTCCTGATGTAAATAGATTAGCTTGATTTATGCTTTCTGTTCCTTAAGTTTAGCTGATTTCCTGATGTAACCAATTGTAAATCTTGGTCTATATAATAGACCCAATTTGATATATCATTAAGCTGCGAATGACAGCAACTTCTGTTATGGTATCAAGAGCTTGACGATCAACAAGCCTTCATTTTTTTTTTTTTTTTTTTTCATCATGACTTCCGCACCTAAAACCTTCAAGGTTTCTGATTCTAAGTCACCCTTTTACCTGCACCCATCCGACAATCCTGGTGCTGTTCTCACCACGGTCATCCTCCGTGGACAATCCAATTATGAAAATTGGGCTGCTCATACTTCTCTGCCTTCGGTTCCTTCTGAGCCGTCATCAGCATCCATCTCCATGGCAGATTTTACACCAGAAGTTCTACAACATCTCATGTCCTTGGCTGTCTCTTCTGCCCCTCCAGTTGATAAACTTACGGGTAAAATTTTACACCCATCTTGGATCATCGACAGTGGTGCATCCCAACACATGACGGGCACACTCTCCTATCTATCCAATGTGCATTCTATTTCTCCTTGTTCTGTGGGACTGCCGAATGGAGTTCATGATATTGCTACGCAATGTGGCAGCATTACTTTGGGCTCTTCTCTTCATCTCTCCAATGTTCTTTATGTCCCTTCGTTGGCTTGTAATTTGATTTCTGTATCTCAGCTTCTGCGCCAGTCTTGCTTGGCATTGTTTGTTAATTCTGTTTGTTTGATACAGGACCTAAAGCAGAAGAGGACGATTGGAACGGGTGTTGAACGAGAAGGGGTGTATATATTGTGTGCATCATCAGCTTCTGCTCATGTTGCCAGTACGTCAGATTCTGCAGCACTATGGCATCGTCGTCTAGGACATCCATCTTCCCGTTATTTATCTTTGTTACCTTTTATTTCCAATGCAAACAATTTGGCTCCTTGTGACGTTTGTTGTAAAGCCAAACAACCACGAAGTCCTTTTCCTATTAATAATAAACGTTGTTTACATCCTTTTGATTTACTTCACTGTGATATATGGGGGCCATATCATATGGCATCTACAACTGGTGCCCGCTATTTTTTAACTGTAGTCGATGATTTTAGTAGACATGTTTGGATTTTTTTGATGCGCAATAAAACTGAAACTTCCACATGTTTACTTCGGTTTCTCCACTTGGTTCGCACCCAATATGATGCATCTGTTAAGCGAATTCAGAGTGATAATGGGACTGAATTTTTGTCATCTGTAGTCCAAGAGGCTCTCTCATCCTACGGTATTCATCATCAATTATCATGCACTTACACCCCACAGCAAAATGGACGCGTTGAACGTCGTCATCGTCACATCCTCAACGTGGCTCGTGCTTTGCGTTTTGATGGTCACTTACCTATATCTCTTTGGGGAGAATGCATCTTGACCGCTGCTCACCTCATCAACAGGACACCGACTCCACTCCTTGGTGGTCAGTGTCCCTATGAAGTTTTGCATGGCACTCCACCAAAGTATGATCACTTACGGGTCTTTGGGAGTTTATGTTACACTACTGTTTTACCCAAACCACATGACAAGTTCGCTCCTCGCTCCCGTAAGTGTGTGTTTGTTGGCTACCCTTTCAACAAAAAAGGATGGAA